ACAACTAGATATATTCAGCAGGTCTGAAGGAGCAATATAACTGAWTATCATCAGCATAGATATGATAAGACACGTGAAAACTGACTCATTTAGACAAGAACATTATTTTCCATTTTATTTTAGCTGGTTTAACTTTCCCTTTAAGAGTTTTAGCCTGTTAATAAAAGTATCAATAAATTCAAACCTGAACAYGCTGTGATACTCCCTGATTATGTGAAATCCACTTCATTTCACTTCTTACCCCATATATACCGTCTCAAAGTCTCAGATCCTTTAATCAATTATTTCTTTCCATTCCCAGAGCTCGACTGGTGACAGAAGGAGAGAGGGCTTTTATGGTCAGGGCTCCCAGTTTGTGGAATACCCTTCCACAAAATATTAGACAAGCTACCTCATTGTTTTCTTTTCAATCTTTATTTAAGACTTACTTTTGTAAAAAGGCTTTTAATAGGGATGAATTATGATAATTTATGGTTGGTTTTATTGTAATTGATTCGGTATATTTTGTTTCATGTTGTCTCTGATTTTTAACTTATTTTTCAATGTAAAACACTTTATAACATTTGTTTAGAAAGATGCTATACAAATAAAGTTATTATTATTATTTAATGGCAGTAATTTCATCAGTTGCTCAACTTGTTGACGGACAGCAGCTGARCAACTGTGACACTTCACTGTGGGTTTGTTAGCTCATTACAGAGTTGTGTATTTTAGGCTGTTTAAACTAGCAAAAGATTTAGCAAAACTTTTTTGTGTAATCTAGGTAACAATCCATTTTACAGCAAAAAAAATTGAGTAAAATATTTGTTTTAAATTCTGTCATAGTGGCAGCTGTTTAAAAATCTTAACTCTGGAACTATTGTAACATCAGACACGTCAAATTTAAGCATAAAAAGTGCTTAATGCATACTTTTTATCTTCTACTATATAAGACAATTAACAAAACAATTAAATACAATAAAAATAACCAACAATTTTATATCAAGTAGACACATTAAAGAYCCATGATCCAGAGATTTCCTTACAAATGAACTGGAATAAATGAGCTCTTTTGTACAGTCATCTATCACAAACTATCTTGACAAACTAAACCATTATACTTTGYTTTATCACATTCCCATTATCTGTGAAAAGCTTTGGCAGTATTTTTCTGCATGTAGTTCCTAATAGTCCAGGGATCGGATTTATAAAACTGGCGTACGCACAATTTGAGCCCAGAAACTTGCG